AATAAACATATTAAATAATATGTTAACCCTAAGTCAAAATTAATGCACTAGCAAGATTTTTAAATGGGAACCACAAGCATTTTCATTAAGATTAGTTTGATTTTGAAAAGTCAAGCTTCTAGGTCCCACACCCATTTCACCAAATGAAAAACTGGAGCTATTTCCATCAATTGAATGTCTTGCCGTGATGGTGGGCTGAGCTGCAGTTTGTGGGTCTGCTTAAAAAATAAAAAATAAAAAACCTGAAGTTGCTTGTGGAAACAAAGAATGGCCGAGATATGTGGAAAATCGAGCTTCACAAGGGGCATGATCTTGAACTGAGCACAAAGCCCAAAGAATGTTAAGGCCAACCATAAAAGGTAGGGCAGCAAGCAAATAAATTGTAAATTCATTTCAATGGAGCACAAAATGTCAAAGGTTGCGGGCCCAAGCAAACATTAGAATAAGGTTAAGTTTGAGAAGTCTCAAATAATTCATCATTTTATTTTTTTATTTTTTTTATCACATTATCTTTTTATTTTTTTATATATTTTTTATAAAAAGATAAAAAATACACTTATTTAAATTATTCCAAACAATCCCTAAATTAAAGACCACATACAAAGGCTGCACAAGTAAAGAAATAGTAAAGAAAAGAGCTTGGTGGATATAGGGCCCACTTGATTTCTCCATGGCCAAGCGTGTAAATCAGCCAACATTGCAATTACAAGCACCACGCTACAAAATCAATGGGCCAAGACGTTTAAAAATATGTGCGCGCTTGATTTCTACGGGAATTGGAAAAATCATTTGTCTTTGGCTGAATTTGTCTGTAACAACAGTTTTTATTCGAATATTGGTATGATGCCTTTCGAGATTTTATATGACAGAAAATGTTAGTCTCCTATTTGTTGGGCAGAAATCGGAGATGGGTCTTTACTTGGGCCCGAGATTGTGCATGAAACAACAGAAAAGGTGAAATTAATTCAACAAAGACTGAAAATCGCACAAAATCGACAGAAAACCTATGTGGATGTACACAGGCAAGACAGGGAATATGAAGTAGGTGATCATATTTTTGTTAAAGTGGCACCAATGAAAGGATAGACTCGCTTTGGGTTTAAGGGTAAACTAGCACCGAGATATGTTGGGTCATATGAAATCATTGAAAAGATTAATCTAGTGGCATATCAAGTAACGCTCCCTCTTGAAATGGAACATATGCATAATGTCTTTCACATTTCGATGTTGCGGGATTACCTTCGGGATCCTTTCCATGTTATTGAGCCTATGCATGTGGTATTAAGTAATGACTACACTTATGAAGAACGGCCTGTCCAGATTGTAAACCTACGAATCAAGAGATTGAGGAACAAGGAAATTCCATTAGTAAAAGTGGATTGGCAAAACCATGGTGGCGTTTATACGACTTGGGAAAGGGAAGACGATATGATGAAAAGATATCCTGAATTGTTTCCCCTAAATTCGGTATTCTTTGAAAATGAAGGTAATTCGAGTTTGGAGGACCAAACTCTTTTGTGACAACCCTGACTCATGTTTAGCATTAATTCATGATTAAGCATGCTAAGTAAATGATTAAGATGAAATCCCAAATTGATTATGTGAGTGTTTTGTTTAGATTGCATTTCTATCTGTTTGATATAGAACGATATGTTCATGTTTTAATTTCGAGTTGCGAATTGAAAGCCTTATCGGCGACCGACGCAGAAATTGACCGGTGTTATATGTTAATTAGGATTTATAGAATTTTATGGTAGGTTTAACTAAAATTTGGTTCGGAACGATTAAATTAGATTAAATTAATGCCATTTGATTAATTATGATTAATTACCACCAACAAGGCCATTTTGACCCCACTAAGTTGAACCTTACATCTCATTCTTTCTTATTTGATACTCAAAACGTGTGAGAGAGAGAGAGAGAGAGTAGAAGGAAATTGAATTCAACAAGGGAATTGTTTGAAACTTAGAAGAAATTGAAGAGGGCTTGGAAGATTAGGCTACTACACTTGGGAATACAAGACTTAAGGTAGTAATTCACCCTCTTAATTATGAATTTAAGTTGTTTCATGCATGGTTCATGGAAAAATTGGAAACTAAAGTCAAGAAATAGCCTAAAGAGTAGAATTGAGAATCAATTCATGCATACATGTCCACATCATGGAGTTTTGAAGTTGTTTTCATAAAATTCACACATGCATGTTCATATTATAGTTGTAATCTAAGAATTCATCATATTTTTGGAAAGAATAGCTCATATGATCATGTGTTGGAAGTCATGAATTCAAATAAGTACATGCATGGAACAATTACATTATATTCTTTTATTTCAAGTTGATTTTGTGTACAATTAGCATACTTTTGGGCTTTGATTTTATGAAATAATCTTCAAAACATGTTGTGTTATGAGTTTCTAAGTATTTTTCCAGAGAATTGGCCCAAAAGGATGAGTTTTGGCATGTTAAATCCATGGTTTGAGCTTTGGGAGCAAATCTGGAAAACTCAGAATTTGGCTTCCTCGCTCGAGCGACCACCTTTGTTTTCAGTCTTTCGCTTGAGCGACGGAATGCTGGCTCGAGCGTAAATTGCAAGCTCTCAGGTTTTTGCGTGTGCAGAAGCACGCTCGAGCGACAAGACTTGTGCTCGAGCGAAGAACTGTGTCTCACACTCGAGCGAGCATCGGGCGAGCATCGAGCGGAGATTTTCAACAACCAGTACTTTTCAAATTTTTGCAGATCGCTCGAGCGAAGGAGTCTACGCTCGAGCGACCAAGCACATTCTGCGTGTCCGCTCGAGCGAAAAAAGCCACACTCAAGCAAGACCCCGATTTTCAGCAAGTTTTGAAAAATGTTTTTAAGTACATTTTTGCATCCTCATTTCATCATAGGCATTCCTAGGCCATGTTTAAGCCATCATAATGAGGATATTGACATAGAACCACACCAAAGCAAGAAAGGGACTAAGTTATTAATTCCGGGTGTGTAATTTAGTGTGCGCTCGTTCAGTAACTGTGTAGGTTGGCACCCAAGGACGCTGATTAGCTCGCTTACAGCCCTGTTATCTGTGAGTAACACTGTTGTAAAGATATGTTCAATCTTATTTATTTTTCGATTGATAAATAATATTGTTTTCTGAAATAATACTTTTTATTGATTGAATGATGATCCTCTTTTGAACTGTATTCGTAGCATCCATAGCATATTACTATTGTTATTGATATTGTAATCATTAGTGTTACGGAGATCACTGTCAGTTCCAAATCTTGGAACTATTGTTATTGTATGATGACCATCAATTGATTGTTCGGTCTTTTAAGACCTAGTGTATTGTTGCTATTGGATGTACCACATATCACTTAATGAATATGATGGATCGAATTGAACGATTGATTGACAAATGATATTGATTGAAAATGTTCCAATGCTAATTGACTGTTTTCAAAATAGAAAGACATCATTCCCAACCTCTTTACACATTTGTTATTTACTAGACTTTAGCTCACAGTTTATATATATAGATAGGTGACCAAGCACCGAACCAAAGCTAGAGGTGCCGATTTAAGCTCCGGTTTTGTTGAGCCAGCCATTGTGCCTCACTTCGAGGTTCCGCACTTGCACGAGTCAAGGCTTTTGGGTGTTTCTATCCACCCATTTTGTTGAGTGTAATGAATGTTTAAGACTTTTGATGTACAGTTATGTTAAAGGGGTTATGTCCCTAACCCGTATGCTACAATGTACATGTATTTTTGGTATATGTCTATAGCTATGTGCATGGAAGCTTTTTTCCATTCAGGTTTTCACAGCTCATTGGACATCTTTTTATTATTGATTGGCTTCCACCAGCCCTGTTATATTGTATTATTGTCATTACTGTTAAGCAGGCCTTTGGTAATCACGGATTATTGGCCGGTTACGATGCTAAACCCTTAGGGGCGGGTTTTGGTCGTGACAAGAAAATAAATCCAAATCGGGTCAAGCAAAGCAAACCATCGACCAAAGAACTCAGCTCGGCCGAGAAATGTATTCTCGGTCGTGCAAGTGCAACCGAAATTAAGGGGCAATTGTGAGGGAAATTTGTACTAAGTAAGCGGGCCAAGCTAAGTCATGACTTAAGGTGTCTTTGGGTCGTGCAACGGGGCAGGTTCAGTTGAGTGTGGTCTTGGCCGAGGTTCTAGATTGATTCAGTTGAGCTGGTCCAAGTTCTGGGAGTTGGACCGAGCTATCTGTTGATCTCAGATATTGAACCAAGGCATCTATGATCATGCCTTCAACCGGGCTAAGCCCTTCAGCCGAGCACCACGATGGAACGAACGGAATTGGGCAAACCGAATTAGTTATTGAGCTCGGCCTTAAAGGTTGGCCATAATTGAGGCTGGAACTGACTAGGCTATGCCTAGCTCGGTGGAAATTGCTAAGTGGTCCAATTAGCGTGCAAGAAGAGAAACCCGCCAATGGTGTGCGTCAATTCTGTTTGGCAGTTTGGCCAATGTTTACACGTGTAAAGAATAGAGAGGGTAGTATAGCCACGCATCCAGGAAAAAATGACGAACAGAGTAGCGCAGAAGCTATATAGACTGAGCGGCGCCTCTATACTACAGGTCTGAATTTCTGGCTACCCAGAGCTTTATCTTTCGTTTGTCTTCTCTCTCTTTCTTTCTCTATAAGGGTGTTAACTTGCCCGTCGGAGGGGTTTTTTGAAAATCACTTGCCGGGTAACTCACTGTCGTTGTGTTCTCAAGTTGAACGGCGTCATTCAGAGCAACGAAGAGCTTAGACAATGAAGAGTATGGAAGCAAGAGAATATTTGCTCCCCGTACAAGCACATAAACTCAATACTTGTTACAAAATTTGTAAGTGATAAAAGAATTCCTAGATGATTCATGCAAAGTTGAGTACTCTAGACTTTTGCACGATTAATTCTCTCTTTTGATGCACCTTTTATTACAAATAAAAAAAATTCCTAAAAAGGGCATCTTTCTTTAATTATGATAAGCAATCTTACTTCCGCTTGTTGACCAGCATGAAGTATGAGCCCAGAGGCATCATACATAACCTGCACAAATTTCAAACAGATCAAAAGGATGTTCAAATAAATACAAGGAAAACCTTGTTAGAGAGTTGATCAAATTTTAGAACAAACCTAGATATATATTACAAAAGCAAAAACATTAATATCATAACAATATGATTATTATAATTTGTAAAAATTAGCTTAAAATCTAATAAAGCCTCAAGTAAAGATGTCATAGTATAAAAAATGGAATCAATCAATTCAAATACTATATAAAATGCTGCAAATAACTTAGCCATTAGAGAATTTATAAATAATAAGCATAAGAATGCCATAACAGAAATAAGAAACTATTAAGATACATACAACACAAGCCAAGACAATTGCAATGGCAAAAGTTGGTCCTCCTGTTCCTTCTTGCAGACCTATAGCTACTGCTAAAGCCATCACAGTGGCAGAATGTAAAGAATGGCCAAAAACCATGGAGAATTAAATGAGAAATTGCCCATGAAGTTAGTTTCATGAAAGAGGTAACGGGATTTGTAACTCCTGCAATATTGCAGAGTTTAATGGTGCATTAATGGGATTTGCAACTCCTGCATTTATTGCAGAGGTTAATGGTGCCTTAGTGACCAGCCATAGAGGTTGGAGGCTCATCCTCTCTCCCCTATACATGTATAAATTGAGACCCTCCTGTCTAGTCTCAACACACAAAATTTTGCTTCCATTTTACAAGTCAGTTTGCCAGAAAGTTCCTCCAGTGAGAGAGTGCTGCCACGAGTTTTGTTCGCTAAGTTAGACAGAGAGTGCTTCTGTCGTAGCTGGTTTTTTTACCGTCGTATCCTGGGAGACAGACGCTGGAATTCCTCAAGCACTCGATCCCGTGAGGCGGCGAAAATTGTTTTAAAGAAACTGCTACCGTACAGGCTTTGGTTTGCTTTCTTTATCATTTTATTGTATTTGGTATTTCTGTTGTAATCTCAGCATATGTTCTTGCTATATAATTTTGATTTATTCGTGAATCTATTTGTTTAATTTCACAATTTGGACAACATGCTATCCATATTTCCCATCTATTCCGCCTTTTTGATGGATTTGAGTCTTTGATTCAACAACCATTTTAATAGCACCATTCGTATCCTCTCATTGACACCACTCACAAATTTATCGTAAGCAGGCATACATTGAGAGATCACATTTTCATCCATTCTTTTATCACTACCTTGAGAAGATGTACTGAAAGCCATACCCTTTATAACTCCATGTTTCACAGTTCTTGAATAAGTATAGCAAAATAGTTGGATTTTGAAGTCAAATTACTTGGTCCGCGCACTGTAATGTTATAGGGGATGAGATCATGAAGTTATTAAACCTTTATAATAATACTATTTAGATTAAATTATACTTGGTATTTCTCATCTTATTTCCGAAATTTTGATTTAAGAGATCTTTTTGGGTCTCTAAAACCATAAAAATAAACCACTTTTTCGAATATTTTAATAGTTCCATATTTCAATCCTCTTGCAATGCTTTACTATTTTTTGTTATTTGATTGTTGGAGATTCATTTAAGGTCTAAATTTTAGTAATTACAACAATGGAACTGCAAATTCAATTGTTTTACTAGATTACTATTCTCCTTGGGTTGGATTTTGGTTGCTTCAGAATTCTGAGCTTTATGGAAATTGATTGACCTGAAGAACCCGATGCATATATTTGTCTGGTGTAGTAGCTCATTGTTTTCAACATGTTTCTCCTACATGATCAGGTATACAAAAAGTGGAATGCTTTAATATTTAATTAAAGTCACCAAACATCCATTTTTTTCCAACAATTCCCCACATGAATAAAAATTGACCGAATGACACAATAAATGGGCACCGTTCAACAATAATAACTCAGAGAGAGAGTACAACGGACTAACCCTGACATTAGAGAAGGTAGCTTTTGATTTTGAACCTACCTATCGAGTTTATTGGCTGATCAGTGATTATGACATCTTGAACTGCTCTGTCGTTTATGTAAACTGAGACAATAGATCTCATACGGGAATTACTCCTACCACCATTCTGTTTTCATTGGTGTGCCCTATATGGCCCTGAGCACTAACCTGGTTGAACGAGTGGTTTCAAAGAGTTTTGGCCTTTCCAATTCTTCTAGAAGCAATCCCATTTCACACTCACATAAGTGACTCTTAAAAGTATCATGCTATAACCTGTTTGAATCCTTAACACATAAGATTCATTAAAAGGTTTGCTTAACCTTCACCCCTGCAGGTATCATTGCTTATCGGAATGGCTGGAGGGTTTTACCCCCACAGTGACATACCATTGTTACACGCAATTAGGTTGTCCCATTGAACCTAGATCTTGGGATCTCCAGTCAATTAGGTTGGGTTTCCATTCCAGTAACTTCCAAAGGTTTCAACCCCATTCCTTTTGACAACGTCTCGATTAACACTTGATTTAATCCTTTGGTTAGCGAATCCGTAATGTTGTCCTCAGACTTTACCTAGTCTATAGAGACAACTCCATTCGAGAGTAGTTGTCATATGGAATTATGTCTACGACGGATATGTCTAGACTTTCCATTATACATATTACTCTGTACCCTACCAATTACAGATTGACTATCACAATGAATATAAATAGCTAGCACGGGTTTAGACCAACGTAGTATATCTTCAATGAAATGGCGAAGCCATTCAGCTTCTTCCGTTGCTTTATCTAAAGCAATAAACTCTGATTCCATCGTTGATCTAAATATACACATTTTCTTGGAAGATTTCCAAGACATGGCTGCCCCAGCAGGAGTGAACACATATCCACTAGTTGACTTTGAGTCCTTTATATCTGATATCCAATTCGCGTCACTATAGCCTTCTAGCGCCACTAGATACCGAGTATAATGCAGCTTATAATCTCGAGTGTAGCGTAAATACCTTAACACTCGCACAATGCCCTTTCAATGAGTAGCATCGGGATTATTCGTGTATCTACTAAGCCTGCTAACCGAGTAGGTTATATCCGGCCTAGTGTAACTCATCAGATACATGAAACTTCCAATTACCCGAGAATATTCTAACTGAGAGACACTTTCTTTATTTTTCTTGATAAAATATAGACTTAAGTCTACAAGTGTCGGTGACAAACTCGTATCTGATCCACTAAACTTCTCAAGTATCTTATCAACATAATGAGACTGAGAAAGTACAATTCCGCCAGATATTCTGCTAATCTTAATTTTCAGAATAACATCTGCAACACTCATATCCTTCATATCAAACTTAGAGTGTAACAACTTCTTGATAATTTTGATCATTTCATCATTACTACCTATAATGAGCATATCATCAACATATAGACACAAAATGACATATCCTCTGTCAGTGTCTCTGACATAAACACACTTGTCACATTCGTTGATTCTAAACCCACTTGACAATATTACGTTGTCAAACTTCTCATGCCATTGTTTAGGTACTTGCTTTAGATCATACAATAATTTGACAAGTTTACAGACTTTCTTGCTTTGCCCTGGAGCTGAAAACCCTTCAAGTACCATGTAGATTTCTTTATTCAAATCTCCATTTAAGAAAGCTGTCTTTACATCTATTTAGTGTATCTCCAGATTTCTTTATTCAAATCTCCATTTAAGAAAGCTGTCTTTACATCTATTTAGTGTATCTCCAGATTGCGCAAAGCTGTTTTCGTAATCATCATGCAAATGGATGTTATCCTAGTTACAGGTGAGTACGTATCATAGTAATCCAAGCCTTTTCGTTGCCTATACCCTTTGATAACGAGCCTAGCCTTATACTTATCAATTGACCCATTGGCCTTCATCTTTCTTTTAAAAATCCACTTGTAGCCTAAAGGCTTATAACCTGGAGGTAAATCCACTAACTTCCAGGTGTGGTTCTGTAAGATAGAGTCAATCCCACTTTTGATCGCTTCTTTCCACAAAGGACTCTCGGGAGAAGTCACAACTTCGTGGAAAGTTTGAGGTTCGTTATCAACCATATAAGTCAAGAAGTCTGGACTAACAGACTTGGAGATCCTAACCCTTTTACTCCCTCTAGGCTTATCTAAAACCTCAACTTGATCATCACCTTGATCATCACCTTGATCATCAAAATGATCATCATCACTACCAAGCCCATCAAATTGCTCCAAAGACCTCGGAACCCCTTCTTGGGTTCGACAAGGAAAAATGTCTTCAAAGAAACATGCATTCCTTGACTCCATGATGGTATTCATGTGTATGTCTGAAATTTCAGACTTATGTACAAGAAACCGATATGCACTACTATTATGTGCATAACCAATGAATATAAAATCCATAGATTTTGGGCCTATCCTAACCCGTTTGGGTGTAGGTATTGCCACTTTTGCAAGACACCCTCACATGCGTAAGAATTTATAAGAAGGCTTAACGCCTTTCCATAACTCATACGGGGTCTTGTCCATCTTCTTCCGAAGTACTTTATTTAGAATGCAATTCGTGGTGAGAATTGCTTCCTCCCACATGTTCTGTGGAAATCTAGAACTTATTAATATTTCATTCATCATTTCCTTTAGCGTCCTATTCTTCTGCTCAGCAATCCCATTTAACTAGGGAGAATAAAGCGCCATGATTTGGTGGATAATCTTGGATTGAGCACAAATCTCAATAAATGGTGATTCATACTCACCACCACAATCACTTCTTAAAACCTTAATCTTGCGGCCTAATTGATTCTCAATTTCATTCTTATAAAGAACAAACTTGTCAATAGCCTCATCTTTGTTTTTGAGCAAATAAACATAACAATACTTAGTGCAATCATCAACAAAAGTGATGAAGTATTTATTGCTACAACGTGATTGTATAAACTTTAAGTCACATACATCACTATGTACTAAGTCCAATGGCTTTGAACTTCTTTCAATAGAATGAAATGAAGATCTTGTCAACTTCGCTATAACACAAGTTTTATACTTGTGTTTCGGATTAATTTTAAAAGATGGGATGTGATCTAACTTGATTAATCTATGTAAAGATTCAAAGTTCACATGCCCTAGTCTACCATGCCACAAATTGGAAGACTCAAGCATGTAAGCAGAAAAAGATGCATCTTTATTCATCTTTGGGATAATAGTCATTACATTGAGTTTAAACACATCCCCAACATATAACCCTTACCCACATACACTCCGCTCTTGGTCAGAACAACCTTATCGAACTCAAAGACCATGCGAAAACCATGTTTGCTGAGAAGAGACCCTAAAACAAGATTCTTACGAATGTCCATAACATATAGGACTTCATTTAAGGTCAACTCCTTTCCTGAGGTCAACTTCAGGACCACCTTTCCTTTTTCATCAACAGTTGAGGTAGTAGAGTTTCCCATAAACAACTTCTCACCGTTTGTAACCGGCTCGAACATTGTAAACAGCTTTTTCTTGGAGCAGATATGGTGTGTAGCCCCAGTATCAATTCACC